TTGCGCGAAATTCAAAAACAAACAAACCCATTGTTAGATAATATACTTTTTCTTACATATTTACATAATATAAATTTTTTCTTACATTTTTAGATATTGTACTATTCGGAGTATAAGCAGCATTACTGTCACCAATTAAATCCTTTTATTTTTTCAGGACATCGTTAAAGAATGAGTTCGAATAACTTGAAACCAAGCCAGAAAATATTTTTTCCTCCAAAACTTGAATAAAAAAGTTTGTTTTGGTGTAGTTAAGCACATAGCAACACATTGGACTATTTGTGCTCTGCCCTCCGTAAATATCTAAACCTAATTTTTAGCGTTTTAAACCCTCAGATTTAACGCAAGTAGAAAATAATTCTGAAATCTAATAGACAGCAATGTTTTTGCCTGATACACAAAATTCTCTATGATGTGTTTACGAATGAATCACGTGATACTATTAATCCAACATCTGCACGTGCTATAAAGATATTCACATTTTAAAAGGCAAATTTTGGTATTTTAAAGTATCACCAAATTGTGCTTATTTCATAAATGCATTTTCAACAGAAAGCTAGAGTAAAGAGACACTACTTGTTAGACTGACAAAAAAAGAGAAAGATAAATTTACAAAAGAGTAAATACAATCCCTTCAATCAACTGATGTCATGTTAGCACCGACATCAATATGTACAGTGGTTCGTGATTTGTGGTACCGCTGTAAATCTCTCATAATTCGTCATGAATTTACAGTCAGTCCCAAAAAATCAATATTTAATCAGATTATTTAAAACAAATTGATAGTTTGCTAATGAAAGAAAAAAACTGGAAATATATAAATTAAATATTGCATCTATTGGTCACTTGTGAAACTTTTAATTTTAGATGTTTGTACGGAAGACTTTTTATTTCATTATTTGTTTTATGTGCGTAATGATGGTTTTTGAATGTAAAATGTAGTTTCTTCTACAATAGTTGATAGATAAATTCAAATACAGCGGTAGTAAAAAAAGTAAGCTCAGAAACGTAGGTTCAAAATGTCAAAAGTCCAGATGCACATATTTCTGTTCATTTGGCACAGTGACATGAGTTTAATATCTTTTAAACTTTGGGTACTAGCTATCTCAGGTATTATAATATATTGTTTTGCATACCTCTCAAACCAAAAACAGTGCAATATATTAAGACAACAATAAAAATTTACCGTTAGTCTAGTACAGGCTGTTTTTGTGCCGTCTGCAGGTGAATCTACATGTAATTCTTACCACCTCTAATCAGTGTCATATTAATAATGTTTTGTCTAATGTCTTTTTGTTTGTTCTTAATCTAGTGAAACCAGAGACGCGGGAACAAATTTCAAGCTGGGAGTGCTGAAAATTTGGGATAAGTGTTTTTCTTTAATGATTTTTAAATATTTATATAAAATGGTCATATTTTTGCTTTTTATAATCATGCTGTTACGACAGCGGAAGTCACGTGACGGTCGTAACACGTAATGAGATTATAGAAAGATCATATCCGTTCCAGAGAGATTATAGCAGTTGTTGGAAAAAAAAAGAAAAGAAACAAAAAGAACGAGAAAAGAAACAAGAAAAGAGATTACAGCAGTTGTTGGAGGAAAAAGAAAAGAAACAAGAAGACAGAGACAACAGCAGCGGCAATAAAACCTGCAACAGTGGCAGATCGAACAGCAAACTAAACAAGAGAGACTACTGCAGTGGTTGGAGGAGAAAGAAATTAAACAAGATAAGAGATTACAGCAGTGGCAACTGGAACAAGAAAGGAAACAGGAAGAAAGTCTCCAACAGTTACAGGAAAGTCAACAACTGTGACAAGAAGTACAAATGGAAAATATTAGCAAATTTCAAAGTGAATCAAATACATTAAAGACTGATTTACTGTCTGTTACACAAGGATGATATATTAGCCATT